TAAGTGGTTGAAGCCCCATGGTCTCATTTTCCCAGATATTGGAAGGCTGTATATAACCGCAATTGAGGCTTTTAATAGCAAAGCTTTTAAGATTAATTGGTGGAATAAGGTATATGATTTTGATATGAGTTGTGTGCGTAAGGCCGTAATCAAGGAGCCGTCTATTTCTATTGTCTATGCAAATCATTTAGTTACAAACTCATGCCTAATAAAAGAAGTGGATCTCTATAAAATACAAAAGACCGATTTAGAATTTGCTTCAAAATTCCAATTGAAAGTACAGCGTAATGACTATGTTCACGCTTTTGTTACTTATTTTGACATAGAGTTTAGTAAGTGCTTTTCTCCAATTAAGTTTAGCACTTCACCTTGGACAGACGACACACATTGGAAACAATGTGTTTTTTACTTAGATGATTTTATAACAGTTAAGGAAGACGAAGAAATCACTGGGATTTTTGAAATGAAGTATTTACAAACAAAAAAAACTGCTTTATATTTTGGCATTAAGGTCGATTTTGAAGGAGAGATTTCTCAAATTCATGAAATAAACTCTTACAATATGGATTAAAATGATACGAATCTCCATTATTTTCTTTAAAAAATTAAAAAGTGATATTCAGAATAAATACATTTAATTTTTAACGTGATTTATGAAGAAATTACTAGTTTTTATTTAAAAAAGACTATTGTTTTTAATAGAGAGATTTAATAGAGATTACAAGTACCAAGTGTTAAACTCATGCCCTGCCAAGGCAAGTGTAACTTTTTAAAATTAAAATTAATTTCAAATATCAATTGAAATTTTAACAGAAATAAATTTTTAATTTATAATCAAAAATGGTTTTTATACTGAACATAGAGCAAGTCCTCACATAGCTTTAAAAAACAAACTTAGTTAAACTTTTTCCTTTAAGCTGCGAGTTTCAACTTATTATTTATTATTTACACAGCATTTGTATTAAAAATTTTAGGCTATCGTATCAATTTATAACTGATGTGTTGAGTAAAAGCTTGAATAATAACCAACAGTGATCAGTAAGCATTAGGAGGATTTAAGAGGTTACCATTCTTTGAAAGATCTATGATCCCGTGCGCGTTGATTATGAGTTAAAAATTAAGTTGATTTGTTAGCTGCTAATAAAAACTGCATTAGGGAACATCCGAATTTTCAATGGTGGGAGCAAATAACATATAATTTAAAGACACTCGATATGATGATCTAGTGACATCAAACTGCTGATCCGGATGACTGACGGAGAGCAGTCACTGGTTGTTTCATGGTATTCCGACGAAAAAAGTTTAGTAATAAAAGAAAAACAACCACTTTTCTTATCAAGTAATATTGTTCTTGACATTCATACAAGTTTCAGGTGATACTAATCTCGAGTAGACGTTTTTCTTAGAAGGACCTTTACTTGATTGTTACTTACCTTTACTTGTTAAGTAATGCCACAAGCCAATTATAAATATTATAATACCTTCTATATTATAGAATACCTTGTGACTTCTAGTACTATGCACATTTACCCATGATAGCGCACCTTTACGCAGTTAGCTCTCGTCGAACCAAAAAGGAATTTAAAGATCAAGAAAAAGATTCAACAAGAAACATTAGAAGACGGTCGTTCTAAAAACCTAGAGAAAAACCTCATCATCTATGGCGTGGCATGTCAATGCCGTTCTAATTATCATTTTAATGACATCATTTCCATAAGTATCCAACCTCAATCACACTTCCTTGCCACACTGCGATCATAAATACGAGCTTCTTTCCGCAATTAATGCAATATAAATTAAATCACCTTTAATACTGTAGTGTTCCGAGAAAATTTTTGGCATATTTGATTTTTTACTACTTATATGAACGAACTTATTAATGCACCTTAACGCTTAATGTAGTTTTTTAATCCATCCGCTAGATCAAAGCCAGTTTTCATACTTTTCAAAGCAGCCTACACTATCATTAGAAGCATTAATGTTGGGAGTATTCATTATACATCAAGTTTATATGATTTTAAAGATACTTTTAACTTTATTTTTAATTTTTATCTATCGATATGTGTTGTGTTCGATGTCAGTGCTGAACATTGCCTCAATATTCTTCAATTTGACGGACCTATTGGGTATTATAACTAATTGAACAGAATTTGATAATATTACATCTAATTTAAATATTTAATTAAGAAAGGAAAAATAAATGTGTTTTGTTTTAGTTAGCCTCTAACTAAACTATGATCGGAATTGAAAGTGGGCCATTAAACTAGATTGTCGCTATCCAGGGTGTTAACCCTGGTAGAGATGTACTTGGTATGATACTAATGCTAATAAATATTCTTTAATATACTCTGCTATTTAAGATTTGCTCTGCCAACTTAGAATCATTTCCTAAATAACCTATATATTTTGCCACTACCAAAAAACAACACAAATATGTTGCTATATGGGAGGAGTTACAAAGTCGCTGATCATCTAAGAGACCACAACTTAAATGGTACCAAATCGCTTTTATTCAGAATATTCCTCGGCAATTTTATCAAAAACTCCTATTATTTATAACATTTATACATTTATATATTTATATATTTCTATAATTAATCAAACCTGTGATATCTTAAAACATATTAGTTGAAAACATAATATAATGTATCAACAATACATATCAACAAGAGGCTTTGGTATGGAACTTGTTGATTTTAGCTTCCATCTGAAATGGCAGAATACAGCTATTATAAGATCTAAACAGAACAGTATCTGAATAATTATCTTAAATTTTTAAAAGTTTTTTATTTTATTTAGTTTATACCCAATCTGATAATATCCACCTGCCTACATACTTTATAAAGTATATGTTATTTTTTAACCACAACCGTACTTAGCGCAATTTAATGGGACCAACAAACCTAGTATATGGTAGTAAAAAATTTTAAAATATAAAGTATTGTTATTAAAAATTTTAATTAATCATACATTGAAAAGTGAAAAAATTGCGTGTGATGCTTGACGTGCAATCTGGAAAATTAAAAACAATTCACGCAAAAAGTAGTTCATTTACTTCGCTTTCGAAAAGTATTCTTTTTAATCTAGAATATATAGAACTTTTCGCCATCATCAATCATTTCAGAAGTCAACTTTTTTTTCTTCGTCATGCAACTGTGGAAAACTTACATTAAATATCCCAAGACATTTCTTATACAGTGAAGCAGGTATTAAAGGCTCTTTAAAACATATATTGCATATATGTCAGGCTACGCCTTAACACATCAAACATTTTATATAACACATCAAACTTTTATATAAAATAGTATACGTAAACCCTAAAATATTTTTTGCTTAACTCGTATACTTATATATAAAATGTCACATCTACACCATTTTTATAGCTTACATTGAATGTACCGTTTATTTAAAAATAGTAATTAGTTCAGATTCTTTAGGTCTAACGATTGCTTTTTTGCTCTCAGAGTCAAGGCTCTTATACGTATCAAAATCTCTTTTTAATCTTCAACCACAGTGATGAGGTCATACAAGTTTTGTATTGCACTACTTAAAATAATATTGATATGCTTCATGAGATGTCATATTCCACTATGAAGGAATACAATACGGCAATATAGTTTTATTAGTTTTAAAACAATGAAACATACCCCTTTTTTCACTGATATAGTTATCAGTTGCCAACATTTTTCTCTTCAAAAAAAGAGATTACAATATAATTTAAAACTGTGTATAATAAGACTTTTCTGGGAATAAAGGAAATTTGATGTTTTATTGTTGTTGGCCAATTTTAGCAATATGTATATATTCGGCTCTACCAAAACAGAGGCTTACAACTGGTAGTTTATGCTCCATTCTGCAATATATTTACCCAATTCCAATTAGCTATATTGGAATTTACCAAAGAACATAAACAACGCCTTTCACGTCATATTAATTTTAAAGCAACTGCATCACCCCAAAGCAATGTCTACAGGCAATGACTTGGTTTAACGCCAATATTTGCACGAGACCTCATGAAAAACTGGGAGCTGTGATTGTTTATTTATATAAAGATACATATATACATATATATATGGTTGGATGTTGGGACAGCGTACTGTCCAACAAGTGGCCCCAGTGAAGTGTAGGATTAGTCGAAGTAGACCACGAAACGACTTGGGTCCTTTTTCGTCCTTCGATTCTCGGATGTTGTTATTGAGTTGAAGCTGGAGTGGCTTCCGTTCGCATAACTACATCTTTTGTTAATGCAAGCAGTTCATTTAGCTTGAGGTTTCCTGCCAAGTCGTCACCAACCCAATGGTGTCCCAAGACAATCTTCCTCCTACTACATATATACATACATATATCTTTATTTTTATATCTTAAATAAACAAAATCTCTTGTCGTATGTCTAATGTTGTCTTGCATTAGTTGTTATTGGAAAGAAATCTGTTTAATTTAGGAATCGTTGCTGATATACTGATATACAATATTCTTTTTTAAATCCAAGATATTCTAGTTATCTTAAATTGTTAAAAAAAACATGTTAAGTAATTTGATTAAGTTTTGTCTCAAAGACACTTTCCAATGTGAGTTAATAATGAATTTATGCCTTATTTTTGCACATTTCTTTTATGTGACCTGTATTTAAAGAGGTAGTACCAATCCGATACTAGGTAATTGATGGCATACAAGATAATAAGACAACAAAATACAGACTATGTGTTGTAAAATCTATATAACAGTAAAATTCGTCAAAGTCAAAGTGTTAATACCTAGTTGTCATTTATAACCAATTGGCCTCCCTCCAATTGGCGCCGCTCATTTCAGATAAATCAAAATTTGTTTTTATGATCTAAAAACTATCTCATTTGAAAATAATATACATAACATATATCACCTTTAACAAACACAACAATATGTTATATTTAAATATGATGTAATAAAAAAGTCAAGTTGTCAGTTTCTGGATTATCGAAATAAAAAAGTAGACTTAAATTTTTGTTATTTTTTTATTCTTCATAAATTTCATAGGTATAGGAATCTCAATATAGAAAGGTTTCTATATATATTATTTACATGGTTTGGAATTATTTTGATTTTGATCACCTTCAGAATCTAAAAGTTCGGCATAATTTAATATAATATGAAAAATTCTTTTTCCTATTAGAGGCACAATTCCATCACCAAACAAAACGAAAACGTCAATATAACTTAGCGATTTTAATTTGTTCATAACTTTCAAGCGTGTATCCTCATTTAAATTTGAAAAGTCTAAACAAAAATAAAATATTTTATAATTAAAATAATAAAAGTAACATATATTGCAATGCAAGCTAACCTTTTATGAAAAATTGACAAGTATTCAATAACTGCGATAAGCTCTTATAGTATGGTAGAATGTCATATGCTTTTACCTCGCGAACTGTATGATCGTCTATATTAATAACGGTTGCCGTATCATTTGAATATTTCATAAACAAAGCTCTCTCCCATGCATCTTTTGCAGAATTATAAACGCAGCATACTTGCATTAACAAACTGCAAAAACATAAATTTTTATACATTAATAAAGTAATGTATAAAATTAGCTTAATAATTTTAAACTTTACTTATTTTTCATTTCATGCGATCGTTCCAACGTGTTACAGTAGTTCTGGATGCGTTCAACATCATCCCTTCCATTATCATTGCGGTAGTAGGAGGCAAATATATATCCATCCAGAAATGTAGAAGCATTAACTATATAAAGTCTTACTATTGTGTCCATAGGAATATAACAACGATAAAACGTATGATACTCGAAAACGTTATCTTCTTCTTTTACGGACAGAAATGGAATAAGATTGCCTATTACTGAAGCGACGGTATGCCGTTGTCTGATATCTACTAGTTGCATGTCATCCCGAATGTCACAATAGTGAATATTATATAGCATATGCTTTGACGAAAGTTTTTTCAATTGTTGAAGTGCTTTACTCTCTTCAACAATAATTTGACTATTTTCTGTTTCAACTTTGAAGATTTTACTTAACACCACTTTCTTTTGAGATAATGGGAAAAGACTTATAATTAAGTTAGTTTTTCGTAAGTGCGTTCTTTCGATATTTTCAACAATGTATCCAAAATCAATGGCAAAAATATTATATGTATTACTTTCTAAATTTATTGATGCAACCTAAAAATAAAACAAACAAAAGCGTGGGAATAAAATAAAACATTCTTCAAACACAAATAACTCACCTTTCCTCGGAATGAAAACGTTTTCTCATACCTCATAACTAATAAGTGATCTCCAACTGAAATAGTTTCGTGTTCATTAAAAACAGTTAGGTTATGCTCGATTGTATTGAGAATATCACTGTACCAGTGCGAGTAATAAGCTGTTACGCAGACCTTACTTATTGTCT